GGGGGCACCAACGGACCCACACGGACACAGAGACAGGTGATAAGTGAGTGGTGTAGGCTACATAAAAAACCCAGGGTCTACGTCGGTCATAACGCTTTCTTCTGTCTTCTCTGTTCCTGGAAAGAGAAATAAAAAGGGTCAGATAAACAAAAGTTTTTTTAAGTAAGTAAGCATTTTACAGCATTTGCAACACAATAAGGTCATATATGTGGTGAATATTGAGAGATGTTACAAGACAGCAACAAACACAAAAAAAAAGAAAGAGGAGAGATTATAAGGAAGATAGAAATTTGATCGGAAAGAGGAAGCAAACCACACCAAAGCCCCCATCAACTGCCCACATATGTGACATAGATAAACTGCAGAATTTTTACAAGTTGGAGGTTGAGTTGTGTGTACTATTCCATCACTACAGGAGCAACACTTGTTTGTTTTAGTAGAGGTTTTACGGCGTTCGCAACGGCATAAGGTCATATGAGCGCCAAGGGATGGATGAATGTAAACAGAGAAGTCCATACAGGAAATCAGATTTACTCTGCTCACCTCTCTAGCTTCAACAACACAACGTCTGCTTCGACTATCAAGTCAAGGCACTTCGGAAATAGCGGGTCACAAAAGTGTGATAAACATACCAAAAAAAAGTAGAGGAAAATGACGATAGTAAGGATTAGGAAAAAAAAAGCAGCAGTTCCCTGTTGCAGTTCAGGCACAGTAATGAGCATGACATTGATGAATCAGCTCATTTACAATTACAATTCTACTGTACGTAAGAACTCGAGATGTTAATGTCCCCTCCTTTGGGAATGGCCTAAAGACACTTCAGTCAGTAGCACCGCTCCGGGGGGTTCAACACTTGTTGACTACATCGGTGGAGAAGGAGCTGAAGCCTAAAGGTTGTAAAGACAATACCAGCCATGATTAAGACAACACAAATAAAAAAAATAATAAATTAATATCAAGATGTTAAGTGTTAACAAAAGGGTGAAAGATCAAGGGGAAGACCACATGGAACCTGGAGAAGAGTCACAGAAATCAATGTCCAGAAAAGTGAGAAGATATGGAATAACATCATGAGGCCGGCCCAGGACAGGGAAAGGTGGAAAGTGTTTGTTCGTGGCCTTTCCCCTGACCCTGGGTGAGAAAGGCAATAATGATGAAGAAGATAAATCCTACGAGTCATTCAAAACAGGCTGCAGGAGAAAGAGTCAGGAGCCCAGAGGAGGTGAGAAGGCGGGGGTTCAGAATGAATTAAATAATCCTATGATACAGTTCACGGCTCAGAACAAGCACTTACCTTCAAGATCTCGGGTAGAGTCTTCAACGCGTCTTTGAACTGTGGGACCAACGGTTCCAGCTCGTTGCGATTCACATTGATTCTCTTCAGCTTGCCCCATCTCCCGGACTCACGGAGCATTTTCTTGAAATGGAACACCTGCAGGCAGGGGAAAAGTAATATATTCGAGGGAAAAATAATATATTTGAGGGAAAAGTAATATATTCGAATGTATGTAGCGGAGTTGAAAAAAAAAAAAATTTCAAAGCAGCATTTACAAAATTAGAAGTTCATTCACAAAGATGTCAGTTCCATATGATGGACAACACACATGTAAAATATTCAATAAAAACTGCATGAATGTAAAACTGCCCAAAAGTGTAATAAGGAAAAACTTCGATACAGTACGAGTAAGGGCTTCAAACTGATGTAAAAATATTGAAACAAAATAGAGTCGAAATTGACCCAGACGGCCACCCATTATAGGAGATAAGTGGTATGGACACTGTTTTCATTTAGTTTTAGTGGAGGTTTTACGGCGCTCGCAACTGCATAAGGTTATATGAGCGCCAAGGGTTGGGTGTCAACAGAGAAGTCTTTACACAGGGAATCACACTTACTCTGTTCACCTCTCTAGCTTCAACAGCACAAAGTCTGCTTCGACGATCAAGGCACCCCGGAAATAGCCGGTCACAAGAGTGTGACAAACATACAAAAGAAGTAGAGGAAAAAATGACGATAGTAAGGATTAGGAAAGAAAAAGCAGCAGTTCCCTGTTGCAGTTCAGGCACAGTGATGAGCATTACATTGATGAATCAGCCCATTTACATTTACAATTCTACTTTGCATAAAAACTCAAGTCCCCCCTTGGGAATGGCCTACAAACACTTCAGTCAGTTGTACCGCTCTAGGAAGTATTGACACTGTTTGCTAAAACACACTCAGTGACTTGAACAAAGAGACAAACAAACCTAAAAGAAAAAACTGCTGCTAAAATTTATACAGTGAGGAAATACTCAACAATGTTTTTACCTCTTTGCCTTCCAACATCGTGATAGCAGTTCCTGATTTATGGGCCCTGGCTGTACGGCCGACGCGGTGGATGTACGTCTCGATGTAAGAAGGGGCGTCGTAAGAGATGACGTACTTCACGTTCTCGATATCCATGCCTCTGGTCATCACGTCAGAACAGATCAGTCTGGCAAATAACGCATCATTGAAGTACAGCTGTTACATATTTCCGTCATCATTTAATTTTACTGATAAAAGATATGTGCACAACCTGTGCTTTTCCATAATGGAAACTTTATTTAATTAACAAATTAGTGATTTATATGATGAGATGTGGGCCAATGGCCTTAAACACTGAATAAACTTACTTAATTTTACTGATCATCATTATATTAGAAGTCATCAATGACAACATGGTTTATCTTTCATCATCTAAAAGAATATTCAAATATAAAAAATTTAGCAAACATAGAACGTCATAATTTTTAGAGTCATTGAAGTCAAACATCAACTTGTTTTACTGATCATTATGAATTAATTATCAGTGATGATAATTATGGTAGTATCTTTCATCAGATTTATAAAAAAATTAAATATTCAACAATCACAGAACATCACAAAATTTAACACAATTCTGTATCATGTGGAAAAGGGATACAGTACTTTGAAAATAATAATAATAATAATAATTGCATTTATATAGCGCATATCCATGCTCAAGAGCTTGCTCTATGCGCTTCACAACTATTATTACCCCAGAAGACCCTCTGAGAACACTCAGAAACATTCTCAGCTTCCGCGGAAGCATACAGTGCAAGCTGCGGATTTCACGCGCTCAAACAGACAAGATCTTTCACTGTCTATAGCTGGGTACCCATTTCCACCAGGGTGAAGTGAGGAAAATTTGTGCAAAGTGCCTTTCCCAAGGACACAACGTCGGGCCCCTGACGGGATTCGAACCCACGACCTAATGGTTGCGAGTCCGAGAGCCAAGACATGAGGTTTCGAAACAAGTACTTTTCTGACTTAACAAACTTGAAGTAAAAGTAAATACAGTAGAACCCATCATATGTGAGGCAGCGTGGTGGAATCAGGCTCTCGTCAAAATAATCAAAAGTGAAGAAACTTACATTTTTCCGCAGGTTTGTGAATTTTTATCAAATTTTTTGTTTTTTGTTATTTCAACACCTTTCATGCCCATTAAAGAACTCATTTCTGTGTAGATTTTTCTGAAAAACGTTGATGAAAGGCACAAAAAATGTAAATTTTCAGTTACCACGGACTCTTAAGCTAAGGAAATAACTAATCTTTGGCGGCCATTTTCTCACTACTTTTACCTCTGAAAACAGGTGACCCCCACCTCCTTCATTTGCAAATATCTCGACTTGTATTCAAGATAAATGGATATTTTTTCCATCCAAATAAAGACAAGTGAACAAGCTTTACGATGATACCAATAACTCTACAAGCCCAAAAATTGACGAGAGCCTGATTCTTCCACGATGCCTCACATATATAATGAACCAGCACTAAAAACATCATCGTCATAGGAACTACAAATACAATCAACATGATGACTTCAGCTATCAACTCAAAACCGCCACCGTTTCAATACTCAGAAACACACTTTTAAGTACAGGGCGGGGGTCAAAATGGTGGGCACTAGACACTCTTGACGAGTAACCTTCTCCAACCCCTTCACACACTCTTTTGCATTAATAAATTCAAAATATTCCAAGCAGACCTGCAACAATAATGTTAGTTTTTGTTTTTTCCAGTAGAGGTTTTACGGCGCTCGCAACTGCATAAGGTCATATGAGCGTCATGGGGTGGATGTCAACAGAGAAGTCCTTACAGGGAATCAGACTTACTCTGCTTAACTCTCTAGCTTCAACAGCACAAAGTCTGCTTCGATTATCAAGGCACCCCAGAAATAGCATGTCACAAGAGTGTGACAAACATGATACAAAGAAGTAGAGGAAAATGACAATAGTAAGGATTATGAAAGAAAAAGCTGCAGTTCCCTGTTGTAGTTCAGGCACAGTTATGAGCATGACATTGTTGGATCAGCCCATTTACAATTCTACTGTGCATTAGAACGAGAAATGTCCCCCCTTTGGGATTGGTCTAAAGACACTTCAGTCAGTGGCACCGCCCTAGGGAGTAAATAATTTTAGAAATGTTTGTTAAAGGTCTCTCCAATTGACTTATGGGCTTCGTTCTCATTATTATTCACAAATCTTGTTTCGAAAGATCATAACTTTCTTCAGTATTGGCAAGTGTGTAAGGAGCATTAATAGAAAACAGTACATGCACATGTATTTTCCGACACACAAAAATATACCCAGACCCTCAAAAACAGACTAAAAATGGGTTTTTTTATGTACAGCTATGCCAACCCAACAGATACACTTCAGAACAGAAGGGCACACTTACAGCTGCAGGTCCCCCCTCTCAAATCGACGGATGATCCGCTCTCTCTTCTCCGTGTGAATGTTGGAGGAAATCTCTGCGGCCCTCACTCCACTCATCTGCTTGACCAGGAGGAAGAGTCTGTGGGAAACCAGGTTGTCCATACACATTTCTTTTTAGTTTTTTATTTGGTTTTAGTAGAGGTTTCACGGTACTCGCAACTGCATAAGGTCATATGAGCGCCAGAAGATTAAAGGTATTACAAGAGAGTAACAAACATAAAAAAGAAGGGGAGATAAGGACGATAGATGTTTGTTAGGTAGGAAAGAAGGAGCAAACCACACAAAAGCACCCGCCAACCACCCACTCTTTTTAGTTTAGTTTCAGTAAGTCTAATAGTGTCTGCAACATAAATAGGTCATATAGGTGTCGAAGCTAGAGGGGTAACTAGAGCGTAACACACTATACAAAGAACTAGAGTGTAACATTCTATACAAAGAACTAGAGCGTAACACACTATACAAAGAACTAGAGTGTAACATTCTAGAGCGTAACATTCTATACAAAGAACTAGAGTGTAACATTCTATACAAAGAACTAGAGTGTAACATTCTATACAAAGAACTAGAGTGTAACATTCTATACAAAGAACTAGAGCGTAACATTCTATACAAAGAACTAGAGTGTAACATTCTATACAAAGGACTAGAGCGTAACATACTATACAAAGGACTAGAGCGTAACATTCTATACAAAGAACTAGAGCGTAACATTCTATACAAAGAACTAGAGCGTAACATTCTATACAAAGAACTAGAGCGTAACATTCTATACAAAGAACTAGAGCGTAACATTCTATACAAAGAACTAGAGCGTAACACACTATACAAAGCAAACAAGGAGGACGGATAAGGATAACAGACGTTTCAGGGAAAAGGAGCAAACACACACCAGAGTACCTGCCAACCACCCTCCAACATTTCTTTCTCTTTCTGAAATGTAACTCATTGGACACAAACAGCCAATATTCCTCCCTAAAATGACCCAATTTTGCATGTATTTTTTTATATGGTTCTATGGTTATTCAACCTTAATATAAAGACTACCTAACTACTAAGGCCTTTCCCATGGGAAAATGTAGGTCTTAAATTGAAAGCGCTGTTAACCCTCGTAGCGCTTACCGGAAGCGCTGAGCGGGCTCCGTGCCGGGTTCGCTTAGCCTTGACCGTTTGTGACCTGCCCCGGAGCGCTGGCCGGGTTGTTTGAGGCCCACGCGGAGAATGTTATTGTTTCATTTTGTATCTTGACAGTATGCACGCATACATTCACCAAAACCCTAGACAATTTAGAAGTTTAGAAAAGACTTCACTTTCCAGAGGTATGGTTTTTCAAAATAAAAAAGGGAAAGCTGTTAATGAAACCAATCATTCACTGTTCAGCGCTACAGGGTAATTGACCTAAATAAACATTATATAGAGTCTATCCCTAACAGAACCCACGAAGGCACGCAGTGCCTTGACCCCTGGGTTATTTTTTCCTTGATTTTGATTGGTTGAACCATTCTAGAGTAAAATTTTCCATTACAGAACTAATAATAGCATCGAAAGGTGACGCTATTTGCTCCAAAAATAAGGTGTTCCCCTAAATCGACAATAGTCGCCTCGCGCGCTTGGGAGCAGGCCCGCCCGTTGGCGATTATAGTCGCCTCGCGCGCTCAGCGGAGTGAGAGAGGGGAGGCGAATTTTGTCGCCTGGAGCGCTACGAGGGTTAAAACAAGACATAAAAAATGAATAAGCACAATACTCGAATAGTAATATTTATATAGCAAAGTAAAGACCGTGGCCTCAAATTCCTTTAAAAAATAAAATCAACAGAACAATATAATTTGTTATCTTTAAAAAAATGTGAATTTTCAAATAAAAAGTTCACTAAAAAAAATACGGTAGTGACTTAGTTGCATGACACCTGTGAGCATTAATAGTAAAACGACAATAGCTTAATTGGATTGTTTTGCGCCACTGAAGGTATGTAAGACTAGCTGGGCCCCCTTTCGATGAAAGGAATGATCGGTGCTTTAATATCAACTAAAAGTCATTGGCCTACTATATTTACACTCTATTGGAATGGGGAAATAAATCTTGAGAGATGCAAAAAATTAGAAGGTCTAGATCTATACTCTCAAAACAAAATGTGCTCCGCGAAATATCACTTCCGGATTTTCTAAAATTACAGAGACAGAAGCGTCGGCCTACAAAAGCGATCGCCGAAATAAAAAAATTTAGCTTTTTGCTGCAAAACTGTCTCAAAACTGAAAAAACCAAGGGCGTCATGACTGGAGAATAATTTACAGAATTTTTTGGCGAAAACCGCATGTCCATTGATGCAGCCACTAAAAAGCCTTTTGAATAGCAAAATTCTGCCACCACAAATAGATAATAGATGCTAGTGAATACATATGAAATATACTGTCTGTATTAGTTCACGAACCGAAGTTTTGTGAAATCTCTACAATATAATTGCCGACTTTTGTTAGCAAGTTAAATTCAGGAAAGATCCCTAAGAAGACGTAACTGAAGTTGAAAGCACACACAGATCATAATATGCATTAGGCAATATTTCGCACATTTTCTTCATAAACAAAACATTAAAAACAACAAATAGAGAAATGCCTATGGTTTCTTACCTATGTGCAGACTCCACAGAGTTGGCAAAACACAGAACGTTCTCAAACTTTTTGGTGATGACGAAATGTAACAACATCAAAGGTTTCTCCGCAGCTTTACAGTCCATGAACTTTTCCTAAAAAGAGAAACAGAATCATTTAATTTAAAAAATTATTTTAAAATAACGAATCACATATTTGGAATTTATAATTAATTAAAGTGGAAAAAAACGCACCCAAAAAACCCAAAAATAATAAAGTCACAGTGAGGCATATTTGGAACTGTTCAAAGAAAAAATATGTAAAAAGAGAATCTCCTGGTTTGTTTTTTGTTGTTGTTGTTTTTTGTTGTTTGTTTTTTTGTG